ACGATAAAATTGGTATAAAATTTGATCTTGATCTGAATTAAAAATGTAAACTTTCAGACGATTCTCGCTCCCTGTTGTTTCTTTCACAATAATAACTTATATTGTTAAATTTATGCTTTGAAAGCTTTTTGACCACAAAAGGGTTCTTAAATACATTTTCTAAGATGTTGTTTTGATAGCAGATGCTTGCAAGTATATGCTTATTTACATGTTTATTTCCTTTTTTTGTTTCTTGTTTTGAAATATCTAACTTATTTTCTGCTATGTCAGTGTACGTTAGATTAAAAAAAACAGATTTACATGTACATAATATTCAAGATATCACTTACTTTGAAAAACATATTACAAGAATTTCGATTGTATGCAGTTAAAGTAAACAAATAATTTATAAATTTATGTAATAATTCATACATCCAGTTATATATTTAGATTTTCTATCTTTGTAGAATTCTTTTATGATTATAGTATGACTTGTCTCGACTTATATTTGTTTTTAAAAATGTATACTCTCATATGATAAAATTCAAGTACTTTATTGTTCCGCTTAAGCCGGTGCTAGAGGGAGGGTGCGGACGGTAACATGCACTTTTCAGTACCGTTCATAAACAGAATAAAACAAATTGAGCCTGCAACATTTTTCAATTTCATCGTGTCGGGCTCTCTTTAGAGATTCTGTTTTTCACTATTGTTTAATATCATTAAACGCATGGATAAACATTTTTGTTTTTAAAATTCTTACATCCTTTTAAATGACAGATTTTTTATTTGACTGTATGGATAAACATGATTTGTTTTTAAAATTCTTACATGCTTTCAAATGACAGATTTCTAATTTGATAAATATTAACCTAAGAATATCTTTAGTAATATGCTCAAAGTTTCATTCGTTTTGGTTACGTAAGCATGTTGATTGGTAATAATTGTTTTAAGGAATTTCAAACTTTTATCTGTCATAAAAGGAATCACCTGCCTTTGTGAATGTGATCATATGCAAGGATAAACGTAATTGGACATATCATTTACTAATTAGATATTGTGTGAAAGTTTGTTTCGTATTGTTTTCGTAAGCAAGTGAATATGTGATAATTGGAAACTTTTATTTATCATAAAGGCATCAGCTGTCGGTGTAAAATCTCTGAGGTATCTTAATGTGCTTAGAAAAATCCATAGCAAAATAGCTAAGCTGATACTTTATTAAACTGTTTCAAGACCGCTCGAGTATGACAAATTCTAGCAAAATATGTGTATTCTTTTAAAAAGTCAATATTTAGAGCGTAAATAATTGCAACTTTGTTGCTGAAATTTTAAAAGAAACTTTCGTTTTGTTTGTTCTAGATAATCTGGCTCCTTATTCTCAATGGGATACCAATTATTCATCAAGTGCATTTTGTGTCTTGGCAGATAAAGTTCTGATAAAGATTTTTTTCCTGGCAAGTAAACCTCTTATATGATTGTACTTTTCACAAAAGCCGTCAAACTTTTTTGAATTTCTTTCTAGTTTAACCTATTGTCTGAGAATCTGCTAGATTGTGTTTTTAAAACATTGACTACAAATGGAGTTGCAGAAAAGAATCAAGCACTTAATGGAGATTTGAATCGTACTTGTCTCGTATATCATGACATATGAGCAATCGTCAAAGCAGAGATGCAAACAGTTCATACAGTTTATGAATGTAACTGGTTGTTAGGATAGTAGTATTAAAAGGGACAAAATGTATTTTCTACTATGTTTTTTAAATTATATTTATAGATTGCCTATGACAAGTGATGTCTCAGATAATTTTAACATCTTTATTTACAGATACAATATCATGACACAAGTGGCTTACATCTTAGTGGAGTACAATATTATTGGGTTATCATACATTGTGGAGGACATTTTTGAGTATAATACTGAATTCTTTTGAATGAGTACAAAGCTGTCAAACCTATATTGAACAAGCCCCTAGCCAAAGCTTTTTACATTTGTGTAAGAGTCCTATAAAATCAGTATTATTCTTAACAATGTATAATGACTTTGTTTTTGACACAACTACTTTTGACATTTTTACTGTGTAAGTGAACGTACACTGAGGAATCAACTTTTGGTTAATTAGCTCCATCTTTTGTATTTTAATTTCATATTTTAGAAAACAAGAGTCAGTCACTTTGATTTTGTTCCAAGTATGTATATAAAGTTACATAATCCGTTATACTCCTAGATAATCCTCCTGTATGTCCCCCTTCTGGACATCCGTATCCCGGTTAATGTTTAAGATCAACCAATAATTCAATCTCATTGAAAACATCCTAGGAAATGTTTTTGTGTCGATTGTTATAGGCGTGTTAAATATATAACCTTTAATATATCACCCTAGTAGTAAGCTATAATGAAATTTAATACAATAAACAAATTCATATAATAGTGGTAAGGGATATTATTGATATTATGTTTGTCATTTGAGAAGACTCCACTGAGATTTTTACAAAATGACGGACCAGAATTCTTTTTTCGAGATTTATGTACTTATTGATGTAGGTCTGGATTGATAACGTGTGTGCAAATTTTCAGATCATTCTCTCATCCCCGAATTTTCAGATTTGCATCTAATAAGACTCTCAATGTATGTGCGTTTGGTTAATATTATAAATCTTAAGCTATAATTATCAATATATTTGTACTGTTTGATTGAAATGCAATAAAAGTATTTACGTTACAAGAAATATTTATAAAAGCAATTAAAACATTACCACCAGTAAATATTACAATATTAAATGTTCAATAATGATTGTTTTACATGTAATAAATTCTGGAAACAAAGTGATTCCTCGGAAGCATTAATCACAACAAAATAACATAAGAATTGCAGACTCGGTTTGATTGAGTCTGTACATGAGGGATAATGAATAAGTGCAACATCCCTCACGACCCCTAGCACCGGCTTGAGCGTACTCAATTCTCAACACTTAATAGTGCTGGGCATCAAATCCCGAAGGACCAGAAAATATAACAACTCTTATTTATACTACCCCTTTTGTACTGCAGATAAATATCTATAGCTGTGTTATCGGTATAATTTACCACTGGAGATTGAGTATTACCTAGCAGACATTAATTCAATAATTCTGTACCTTATTTATAAAGCTCTATAAAAAAAAGTATTCTTTACCATTGAGTAGTAGTTTTTGACCATTAAAGTTGCCACTTATGTCCATTAGTCATACAATAGTAATACAGTTTGTGTGATTATCAATAGGAAAAATCTTTTGTCCTGTCATTTATACAGTAAATCTGTTTCCGTTCGGTACAAAAACTGACGGAACTGTCTAAGTACTTGCAATTAAGTTTGCAATTATAACAGTAAAAGAGAAAATGTAAAGCACTTATATGAAACAAAAGTATAATTGTTGTACATTTGACATTTTACTTCCGGTAGTTACAGTCTTGGACAGGATATAAAACTTTCTTGATTTGATGGTGTTTCTGCGTGGCAAATTTAGAAGAAGTGAACGAAAACATTTTATTTTATGTAACATATTATTGAAACAAAAATGTGAAAAGTATCGTTACTTTTTTGTCAAATACTATAAGGTCACCAGTTTTTTATTAACACTTAGTATCATTGTGGGTTTTGTTATTTAAAAACTTAAAAGTCAAGCATTGCCCCTCTTGAACTTGAAGTTACAATCAAATAAAATGCCAATCACATATGTCATATGTATATTTTGTTTCAGAAATTCACTTAAAAACCTGTAAAACAGATACATAGTTCGGAGGCCTTTTGTTACGAATTCTCATATTTCTGATTTTTAATCTTATATTGTTGATGCAATCCTTTTTTTACTTTGAGGATTTGAATAAGATATTTATTTGGCATTGTACTAACATACAATATTATAATGTTCAATGTTCAGCTTTATTTTTATCTTTTTATCTTTATTTTTATCTTTTTTTATTTCTCAATATATAACAATTTTCCATGCAGATTATCTGTATAAAAGCTTGGGTGATATGTATAATAAATTCTGCAACTTTCTATGTGTCAAGAAGCTATAAACGCTAAGGCTGATAATTTGCAAGCTATGTCATTGGAAGAAATAATTGGCAGGTAATTTCTTATAATTTTATTTAATTGAACAATTGAAACCCATTAAATTTTATAGAAATGGCCATAAAGATTTCCTGTCATCGTAAGAATTGCCGGAACTGAAAGTACATGTATACTAGTTTTAAGCATTTATTTTAAGTGGAACGCATAATATAACGATATATTCAGACGCCACGTGCAAAATTTTGCACACGACAAGCCATACATTTAAGACAATTTTATGATAATCTTCGTTTTTACATTAAAAGTACTTTTATCTTTTTCTTAGAGTAATAGTTTAAACACTTATCATTAGAGTTTGATGGTGACGAAAGATGGTTGCTTTTATTTAAATCTAAATAATTTCAAGAAGATCTTAGAAAATTAGAACTTAAAGAATATCTGACTTGTATTCTAAATCATCATGAAGCAGATATACTTATAAAAGGCGGAAAAATGATAATGAAAATCATATAAAGCATGTGGCATGAAATATAGAGAGGAGTTTACAATTAAATAATACATTTCCAGGGACTTGTCTTATTACTTAAACGAAGACAGGAGCATACTGAAGTGACAAATGTTTGAATTTAATTATTTATTACCAAATATGTGTAAAAAAAATCAAAACACGTTTAACAAAGTTTGAGACACTTTTAAAATTCTAATATTGTCAAGTCTGATAGGGATCAAAATGACTGAAAGCTCTGTACTCAATAGTCTCGTACACAATATATAATACATTCAACAAATTAATAGGTTTAATATTTTACCTTGACCAGAGACTTTGTTATGAAGCTTTTTGTAAAATTCTAGTAGAGAAATAAATGTTGATAATATATACGCAGGTTTAATGGTTCAGGTAATAAATACAATATTTTGATTTTATTGCTATCAGTATTTTGATTTAGTATGATATGCAAAAAAAAAAGTTTTTTTTTTCGTTCTTAACTTACAGCAACACAGAATCTTATAAAGTATGGAAGGCAGAAACATGTAGAAAATGTATTGCCCAGTATCGATGGTAAAAACCTTATACATTTGTATTAATTAATTACATTGTTTACTTTGTACAGGTATATACAGATATACATGCACATATATATGTATATACCAGCACATATATATGTATATACCAGATCTACAAATATGTTATGACACCTGTTACGGCGAGAGTGATGACCGATTGCCGTACAAATCAAAGAAATCTAAAATTTAGTAAGTTTATTATAATGATAATAATAATAACATATAACCTATCTGTAGACGTCTCTCTAACGTAAATGTTGGTATTTCTGCTCACCGTGTAAAGAGCAAGCTTATTTAAAGAGTTTACTTTAGTTTTACAGGTTTTTTACAGGTATTGCGGCATGTGGAAAATGTTCACATGTAATAATCTTGTGACTAAATTAAAGTGTTCAGCAGGCTGGTCTCACAATGGAGACTACAACTGTAGCATTAAATGTACTCATCTACTCATTAAAAGTGTCAAGTTGGATTTAGTTTTTTTCCTTCTAAATTATTTTTACCAACCATTTAGGCGGACTTTTATATAACTGCAGGTAATTAGTTAGCAAATCAACGTAAATATATATCATATTATCTTTAAAAAAAACTCAGTTTCATGCCGTATCGAGTATGGCTTAGTTAATAGATTGGAGATCCTGTATGTTGAAATAAAGTTTGTTACCACACTTAAGTGAACCTTTATATATGTATAATATTATGCTTTTGAAACAATTTTTGAACATCGAAGACTATGTAAAATATGTAATGCAAATGTTTGCCCACATTATATATAGTCATTAAATTATATGCATTAATTTCTTATTGAACATTTTGACTTGGACTTGACAGAAAATAAATTTCTGATTACCTCCCTTTATTAACATGAAATGCCAATTCGGTAACATCTTTACAAAATATGCGTTTTGGAACTTACAATAATGATAAATCTTCATTATGAGCATATATTTATAATATGAAACCATAAAAAATTAGTTACAGGATCTTAAAACTCCATTTGTAGTTTTCACTTATCGTTTTATTCTTCAAGTAAGAAAAGTTCGTTAGGATGCTAAATCTTTCACCAAGAAGGAGGTTACATCATTTGTATGTCATTCAAATATGTTATGACACCTGTTACGGAGAGAGTGATGACAGATTGCCGCAGCAATCAAAGAAATCTAAAATTTAGTCAGTTTATAAAAATGATGATAATAGCATACTCACCATATTTATAACCTACTTGTAGACGTCTCTCTAACGTAAATGTTAGTATTTCTGCTCACCGTGTAAAGGGCAAGCTTATTTAAAGAGTTTACTTCAGTTTTACAAGGTTCATTTACAGGTATTGCGATCCGTGGAGAATTGTCACATGTAATAGACATGTGACTAAATTAAGGTGTACAACAGGCTGGACTCACAATGGAGACTACAACTGTAGCATCCGTGAGTATAATTATAAGTCATCTACTCATTAAAAGTTTCAAGTTGGATTTAGTTTTTATTTCTTCTAAATTATTTTTAGCAACTATTTATATAACTGCACGTAATAAGATAGCCAATCAAAGTAAATATATAACATATTATCTTTAAAAAATCTTTGTACGTTTCATGCCTCATCGATGGAGTATCGCTTAATTCATAGATTATAACTCCAGTATCATTTTATTCTTCAAGTAATAAAAGCCCGTTAGGATGCTAATTTTATCATCAAGAAGGAGGTTACATCATTTATATTTCATTCCAAGTTTTAACTGTACTTAATTTCTACAGCTTTTACGGGTTTATATGACCAATCCCAAGATTTTCATTTAAAATCGAAGCAAACATCTACTTCTTTGGCAACTGAATATATGCATGTGTCTCTATGTATGCGTGCTCGTGCCAGTGCTTGTGTGTTGGTGTGCGCGCGAGTGCGTGTGTGCGCGTGCATAGGCGGAGGATCGTTCCCGATTTAAATTAATTACAGATTAGACTTAACGTTAAAGAAACATCTTGACTGGTTTTAGGAAGAGCCAGAATGCTGGTACCGTTCCACTGTCAGAACAAAGAATTTACTCTCTAAACAATTTGCCATTATAAACCCTGTAATCGTTTTTTCAGCAATATGTAAACCGAACTGTGGATCCGTTGGGGAGTGTGTGGCTCCTGGTAAATGTGATTGTAAAGGTCTAGCAGAAGGTCAGTATTGTCAGGAGTGTAAGTTATTGAATTGCTTATCCTAAAGAATTGTCGATTATAATCCTGAATGTGTAAAAATGAATTATGATAAATATGAGAAAAAGTATTCCCAAAATGAAAATTAGAAGTCTTATTTTCCTTTGATGAAAACGATTGTCTAGTATTAAGGAAGTATTCTTATTTTTTTGCGTTGGTGTCCGATGATTACGCATTTGAACGGTATTTGAGCGGAATATATAGATGATGGGTTTTAGCATGTGAATTCTAAAAATGAATAATTATTAGAAAAAAAAGGACTGCATATTTAGACTTTGCTGATTATATGCATTATGTTAATTGAAATATGTTACAGTAGACTTCATTAAGATCTGTAAATCGTTTGTTAAAAACTTTGGTATATCTATAATTGCCAACATTGATCCTCTTAGTATCACCAAGCAGTGATGTTAAAAAATATTAAACCAATATCTTATGGTAATATTGTGTTTTCTGTTTCAGTGCTGGATTCTACGCCGAGAAATGCATCTGAAAATAACGGACAATAATATCCTTATAACAGCTGATTAAATAAATGAAATATGTACAGTACGTTTCTTTTTTGCCGAAGGAAATCTGTGAAGGATTGACTTCCCATGGAAACAATAAATATAACTAGAATTTTGATTGGTCATTGTCATCTTTCCACCCCACAAACGCCACAAAGTGCCTTTTACTATCATCACGTGCAAGCTTCCCTGGTCACGCGGTCTTTTTTTGTGCGGATGGACAAATACCAATATCTTATAACGGTGCGTTACATCACATATGATGACAGAATCTCAAAAATAGCTTTATATCTCCGTCCTGTCATGCTGGGTCACAATGCAATGTTTATTGAGCTCTGTGCAAATATTACGCCTACATAAGCCTAAGGATTGGGTCTGACTTTAACCAAAACCATTATATCGAAGTTAGTTCACGCGATGGCAAAGAATTGCACGTTGCCATTCATGCCCGATTGACAATAATGATGAGCCAAATCACAAGCGCAAATATACAAATAAGTTTTCATTATTTTAATGTGTTTAATGTTATTGAAAGAGATACAGATTAAGGTGACCCATGCCCTTTGGCAGGAGTTCACTCCGACTTAAACTAATTAACAAAATGGCAGAAGTGAAAAAAATGAAGGATAAAATGTCCACATGAACATTTTTTTATTTAATAATTTAATTTCATTAATTTAATTTTTAAATATTTTTATTTAATATTTTTTTAAATAATTTTCTATTAAAAGTTTTAAAACTCATTCGCATACTTGTAGTAAGCTAAAAAAAATTATTATGAAAGTTTAAGCAAAGCCATATGGCATACATGTAACACAAAACTGACTTAAAAGTTGACTTCAAAAATATTTCAACTAACTTTAAAAAGTTACTTGTTCGAGGCGTAAAAAACGTTTTATATATTTATGCTTAAACATCATGTGGCCATTTCTAGTCATTTTGACGTCTTTGAAAATTATGTATCGTGTAAAAAAGAACTAACGTATGTTTGTTTGGAATATTGGGGAGAGAACCGTTTTGAAAACGCTATAAGTACTTGAATATCAAAGCACTGAAAGTACTGGTTGCCGCACACCTCAATGATTTTATGCAAATATCTAAAATAATAAGTCTACCTTGTGGCTATGTTTACCATTTGCCTCGGGGCTATTTTAACAATAAAAAAACTGAAAAATGCATGGAATAATATTACCGAATTGATATTTATCGCTTTGAGCCTTTTTATTTATTAATTCAAACAGATTATTCAATCATTTAGTACTTCATATATATAAAGTAAGAAATATAGGGTACTGACAATTGTCATTAAATAAAATTGTATATTGAACGAGTGAAGAATGTTATTAATGCAAGCTTTAAGACATTGACTTTTACAATTCCATTGAGCAATTTAATCTTTAGACAGGAAAGATTATTGCTGGCAAGTAATGCCACAACGCGAAGCAAATATTATTCAACATTTCGTTTGGACAAATCTTAATTAAAATGATCAAGAAGAATAGAAACTAAAATCATTGTCATGAAAACAAAACTTTCAAATTTGATATATATATTTTTTACTGAAATGACGTTAGCTTATCTTTTAAATTATCTAATTTATGTACACGTATTTACATTTAAAAATCAACAACCCTTTTGTTTGCTTTGTTTGATTAATTTGACACTTCTTTTGATTGCTTGATTGTCATATTACGGCATATTAAACTCGACAAAACAATAACCATGATATAGTCAACTTTAATTGGGAGACTTTTACTGTCTGAGTGGGAAAATATTGTTTCCCCTTAAAGGGTCTCCATATACTCACAAACATCATTCATTTAAATATTATTTTTACTTTACTTTATACACGTATAATGGTGCAATTTAAATGAATGGTCTTTCCAAAATGTTTGATACCTGTATTGTGTACGAATATTTTATACATTAGGGTTGAATATATAAATCAAACACGGAAATATGTTTTAACAATTGAGCCGTGTTACGACAAAACCAACATAGTGCGTTTGCGACCAGCATGGATCCAGACCAGCCTGCGCTTCCGCTCAGTCTGATCAGGATCCATGCTGTTCGCTATCAATTTCTCTTCTTGTAATAAAGTTAGTAAGCGAACAGCATGGATCCTGATCAGACTGCACGAATGCGTAGGCTGGTCTGGATCCATGCTGGTCGCAAACGCACTTTTTTGGTTTTGTCGTGACACGGCTCATTTATCATTGAAGAATTATCCCATGGCAAACGATTACTTATACTGTTTACATGTTTTATTTTATTTATGTTGTTTTATCAGAACGAATCAAACTCAGTGATTTTGAGCTCATGGTTTTGATGTTCGTGAAGTTAGCCAGACTGCCGGAACAGCATGAACAGCCGGAACACATTTTCGTTGAGATCGGCTGTTCCGGCTACTCCGGATAACCGGAGTCCGGTTCCTGCTGAACAGGCTAGCCAGAGAAGATACAATTAAACATGTTCAAACGACCATTGGTTAATTCAACAATGTAGTTTCAAATTACTTATCACCTCATCTCTGGCTATTCCGGTTAGCTTGAAAAACCGACGACATATTTAAGACCATGTGTGTCGTGCATGCTGTGTCCACTGGTATAGGTGTGTCTATCGGATTTGCCGACGTTGAGCCGAAAATCGTACTATAAATGACCATTTCAGCTTATATCTCGCCTATTCCAGTTAGCCCATGTAAGCCCAAGAACCCCATATAATGGGATGGTAAGGTGGTTTGACCGTGTGTCCGCTAGTACAGGTTTGTCCGTCGAGAATTCTCTGGTATTTTGCCGACATTAAGCCGAAAAATGTACTATAAATGAAAAGTCATGTAAATTATGGAAACATACATGATGGTGATTGTATTTAACAGTTAAACATTGCAATTGTGAACTGAACAAAAAAAGTAATTTACAAATTACAAACCACGTAAATTACCAGTAAGCGGTCAAATATGCAAACACCCCTCTTAGTGCGTTAGACACGCAACTTAGAAATATGGAGATAAATACAAAAAATCAGTCATTAATCGCACGAAACGGAATGTACCATTTAATGTGTTAGTGTAATCTTTGAATCTTGTAACGTTTTTAAACACCTTGATTTATTTTCAAGCATTCTTGAAATAATATGTAAGGCTAGCCAGAATAATCGTAATCAAGGCTACTTAAGCTGAAAAGAAACCCGGCGTTAGACTTAGGAATTTGTGTGTCGAGCATGGTGTGTCTGTGTGTCAGCTGGTGAATGTCCGTCGGGAATACTCTGGTATTTTGCCGACGTTGAGCTGAAAATCAAACTATAAGTGACCATTTCAGTTAATATCTAGCCCATGTGAGTCCCAGGCACATTTTCGCAGAACCCCATATGGTGGGATGGTAAGGGGGCATGATCGTGTGCCCGCGGGAATAGGTGTGTCCGTCGGTAATACTCTTGTATTATAACGACGTTGAGCCGAAAATCGTACTATATATGATCATTTCAACTCATATCTCGCCATTTTCGGTTGCTCCCTGTTAGCTCAAGCCCCAATTATGCAGATCCCAATATGGTGGGATAGTTAGGGGGTCTGACCGTGTGTCCGCTGCTGTAGGTGTGTCCGTCGGGAATACTTTAGTATTTTGCCGACGTTTAACCGAAAATCGGACGATAAATGGTCATTTCAGCTCAGATCTCGCCAATTCCGGCTAGCCCTATGAGCCCATTTGGGAATTTTCTGGCTTTCTATGGAAGATAAGCTGGGTAAAAATGTGATAACTACCAAATCTCGCCATTTTCATTTGGCTTCTATGATGCCCGGGCCAAGCTTCACAGAAACCCATAAAGTTCCAAGCTTAGGTACGAAAGCCAGTTGGGACATTTTGACTTCATGAATACCAAATGTCATCGTGAAGACTTGAATTTAGAAATTTTATTTAGTGAATTTACGTTTGCAACATACGATGTCAGCTTCGTGAATTCGCTGTTTCAACTTCGCAAATTCACTATTTCATATTCACAAATTCACGATTTCAACTTCACGAATTCATGATTTCAACTGCATTAAATCAATATTTTTTTCTTCATGAATTGAAGATTACAACTCACGAATTCACAAATTTAACATACGGATTGCGAATTTTCGATTTCAAAGTCACGATTTGTACTGCACATATTTACGAATTCACGATTTCACGTTCAAGAAGCTGAAAACGTTAATTCACGAAGTTGAAATTGTGAAGATGATTTCATGAAGTTGAAGTCTTGAATTCACGAAGTTGAAATCGTCATTTAGTTGAAATTGTAAATTTGTGAAGTTTAAAACTGTCAATGTTATTACCACTTTTAGCCGAAAATCAACTGCAATGTCATTTTATCTCAAAATATTTGGAATTTTCGTCTGCGTCTTGTGAGCATGGATACATAGAGATTTGTAACCTGAAGATCACTTACTTTATAATGTTAGATATAGTTGGTATTTTGTCGACATTTAAGCAAAATGTTACTGTGCTGTG